TTTAAGACAGGTTTCGCTCTCTCGCCCAGACTGGATGGAGTGCAGTGGTGAGATCACAGCTCCCTGCAGCCTCCACCTCCCAGGCTCAAGTGATCCTCCCACCTCAGCCTCCCGTCTAGCTGGGATCCCAGGCACCTGCCACCATGCCCAGCTAATTTGAAAAAAATTTGTAGAGAAGGGGTCTCACTTTGTTGCCTAGGCTGGTCTCAAGTGATCGACTCACCTCAGCCTTCCAGAATGCTGGGATAACGAGTTAAGAGCCCTGCACCCAGCCCCTCACGCCGATTCTAAGACAGCACAGGTGGGCGCACAGCCCCAGCCACGCTGAGGACTCTGGCCCCTCCTGGCCAGTCTGGCGCTCTCCACAGTGCACTCCCTCAGCAGCAGGGTGCACAGCCCCCTCCACACCGAGGACTCTGTTCAGCCCTCCCGGGCCGGGCTGGTGCTGTCCTCGGTGCCCTTCCCTTGGCAGCAGGGCTTCCTGTCCCGTCTTGTCTGAGACCGTGCTCCAATTGGAACATGAGTGTTTCATCTCCAATGTGTGTTACGTCTCCAACGCTAGTGCACAGGCATGAGGCCAGGGGTCCCACATGGGAATTCCGTGGCACTCTCTCTACAGTAAGTCCAGGTCTGACCAGGACAGCTGGAGTTTTACATTTCACAGCCTGGCAGACCCCCACTGTGGGTGACGTGGTTCCCTGTGGTCAAAAGCGAATCCTCAGCTCAATGCCCTTGGGTGCACCTCAGTAGGAAGAACTCTGGTCCTCGTGGGCTCTACACATGCCCCGCCTTCTTCCACACAGCAGCTGCAGGTCCTTTTTGGGACAGACATTCAGGACCCCCCAACACCTCAAGTCTAGCCTGTTTCATCCTGCTGAGGCTACTCTCACTGTTAGAATCATCAGCCCTCCCACCCCAACCCTGATCTGTGCGCCTCTGTGGGAGGTGTGACACGTGCCCACCAGGTGACCCCCTTCCTTCCCCTCACGCCGCTCTCCCCCAGCACAGCGCACGCTCCCTTGGCTTAGGGGCACCCACAGCTCCTGCTTCAGCAGCCACCACCAGCTGTGCCTGGCTGCACCCCACAGGTCCCAAGGACAGTGTGCAGGTGTTCAGGAGAGGAAGGCAAGGTTATCTGTGAACGCATGGGTGGCGGCCCCAGTCAGACAGGACTTCGGGCAGATGAGGACCCCCAGGACATGAGGACTCACTTGCTCACTCTGCCCGTTGGGCAGCCACTCACCACTCCCCTCCTGGTGGGCAGGATGGCCGTTGTACGAGCACGAGCATGGAGACCGTGCGCAGTGGGGAGAAGGCACGAGTGGGAGGGCGCCGCTCCACCACGGGTGGCATCTCAACGAGGCACGGGACGAACGCCAAGGATGGGAGGTGGCGAGCAGGTAGGGCCAGGTAGGCCTGTGAGTGAGTCTGGAGTGTGGGTCAGGGGGTGAGTCTGGAGTGTGGGTCCGGGGTGAGTCTGGAGTGTGGGTCCAGGGTGAGTCTGGAGTGTGGGTCAGGGGGTGAGTCTGGAGTGTGGGTCCGGGGTGAGTCTGGAGTGTGGGTCCGGGGTGAGTCTGGAGTGTGGGTCAGGGGGTGAGTCTGGAGTGGGGGTCCGTGGTGAGTCTGGGGTGTGGGTCCGGGGTGAGTCTGGAGTATGGGTCCGGGGTGAGTCTGG